ATATTAATAAAATCACAAATTATCAAATGTATTAAAGCTGTAAAGTATAGAAGAGTTAAGGTTAAAAAAAGTCCAGAAATTAGGTGCTCCAATCACCAATGTGAGTCACTTAACACAAAACAAAATTAAACAGTATACAAAATTGTGAATGGTGAGAGCACACTGTATATCTTTACCCTTGTATTACTTAAAACTCCATAGGAATCTTTAGTAGTGGTCTGGATTTCTTTTGACACAAATTCTTCATTGTTCTGATTACTCAACGTAATAACTGCTGAAATACTGCTGCAGGTCCAAGCTGAAACAAAAGGGTAAGTGGAAACAAGCTTGTTTCCACTTACCCTTTTGTTTCAGCTTGGACCTGCAGCAGTATTTCATCTCTCTGCCCCTTTTTGCAGGTGCTGAAGGTGTTGACAAAGGCACAGTTATTACGTTGAGTAATCAGAACAATGAAGAATTTGTGTCAAAAGAAATCCAGACCACTACTAAAGATTCCTATGGAGTTTTAAGTAATACAAGGGTAAAGATATACAGTGTGCTCTCACCATTCACAATTTTGTATACTATTAAAGCTGTACTGATGCTCAGAGTGTACCTTTAAGCAAAACTACATTTACCAGACAAATCATCAGAGTTATATTTATATAAGTATTACACAGCATATAGTGTTTATATTGCAGCTAGGCATTAGGGTATCACTTGGTACCAATAATAGCTCATGGTGCATAATTTTGCAAAGTGTCCATAATCATGGCCATTAGTTGTATATTTTTTACATCTCGTCTGTATGATAATATTAATTATTTTCAAACACTTAGTCCAAATATTGGGATCATAACTTGAGCAGTTTGTGTATAACATCAATACATAAAACTCTTTGCAATTATTAACAAAAAAAAGTGTTTCTTTTATTTTACTGTATTTTGCAAAGCATGCTGAAATGTTCTCCTGATGAAAAATTTCACATGTACAGCTAAACCACAGATCTGTACAGAACCTGTCTTCAGTGGAAAACCTCATGATAACATCTCCATATGACATACTATATAAGCTGGGTTTCTATGGTAACTACCACCATTCTATAACCACCGAAAAGAACGATTTCCTGTAGCAACTATTTCTCAATATCACTCTAACATTCAGATTAACGTCTGAAATATCTAATTCTCAAAAAAGCATTTAGAACTACTTAATCGACTCTAGGCTATTGTTTTGAATTGTAAAATAAAATAATGCAAATTGTAACACAGACCATTGAGCTTTCAATTGTTAGCATATCAGTAGAAATAGAGCTCACAAAGCAATTTATTAGATGGTGAACATAAATCATATAGTGGCCACCTAGCAATGAAATTATTTTGTGAAATAAAATAAAGTAGAAGACAAGCGAGGAGAATAAAAAAAAATACAAAGCTATGTATATTTAACTACATAATAAATTTGCGGCTGCCTTTCAGTAGATGACTGACTAACATGTAAAAAAGTGAATAATATGGTAAAGGACTGCTATTATAATTATATAGTAACAAGCAAATGAAATAAAAAAATAATTAAGTTACTTTATCAATATATATTTGGAAACCATCACGTGTCAGCAGAAAATCAATGGGGTATACAAGAACGCCAAAATATAAATAAATAAATAAATCAAATTTATTGAAAAACTCACAAGAAATAATAGCCGGTGGCCACTAAAACCCAGCAATGTACAGGGTAAGTGTTCAGTAATATGTCCCAATATGGGAATCAGCATAATAAGCTAAATTGGCTGAAATACCTGCAGTAAATATAGTAAAGTCAAAGTGGATTGGTGATGTATTTTAAATTTATCAAGCTTTCAAGCTTTTCTACGTTAGGGACCTAATTTATTTAAGGAACCCATACACTCAGGTAGATAAACAAGACATGAGCCCTGTACAATGGCAAAGTGATCAGCCAGACAAAAACCTTTTAGATGTTAACCAATATATATCTTGAATAGCACACACAACTATGAAAAGTGTACCCCTTAGAGGAACACCACTAAAAATTGGCCTACAAAAGTAAATTTAAAAAATGGAACATATGATTTCTTCTTTTGGCTCTACTGAGCTAAGCCCTACCTTGCACAGCTGGCTTATTTCACTCTCAAGTATTTAGTGTGACCTTGCAAGGATTGTCTTAGGTCTGTGGAAGGAGTCTGATTGATCCCAGTGAATTTGTTATTCCTTTCTTAAGTGGTGTCCATGATGATTGCTCTGTGCCATTTCTCTTATTTTTATAAGTAGCATAAACACTCAATTATGAATGGAGGGACCAGGATCTACTATCCCACCACTATTAATTTGGTGTTTCTTTTAACAAGTTTCTTCTACAGGACAGGTGAATCCTGATCTAATTGAGTACAATTTAGCATCTCATTTCCACACTCCCTCCACCTATCAGTATAGTATACCCAATTTTTACTGGGATACCTTCCTCTGTACCAGTGATGGAACTAATGTAGAGGGTACAATACATTTTATTTGGGGCCCCCTTTTAGTGCAAGGATGGCTAAAAGGTAGATCCACAATGCTTTGCTAGCTGGAGATCTATAATTTGCTCATCCTCGGAGGGTTGTATTTGTGAGCAGTGCATATGTGTTTGAATGCAAGCATGATTCCTCATGGTGCATTGTGTTTTTTAATGTTGTAGTATATTTATATGTATGGTTGCCATGCAGTGGTGTGTTTGTATGTAGTGTTGATGTTTTAATGTATGTGTGCATTTATGTGTAGTGTTGGCATTTGGAGGCAGGTGTGTATTTGTTTATTGTGTTGGTGTTTGAATGCCTCGATGCATTGACATATATACATTAAGCTGCCACACACAGATACACAAATATACTAACATAAATACACATACACACAAGCATACTGACACAGATACGCTTATAGGCTGACACACATTGACACACATAGAGATATACATAGATACGCTCAAATATACTGACAAAGATGCACATACACAATGAGATATATACAGATACACACATTGAAACACACATACTGACACAGATAAACACCCATACTGACAAACACATAAATACACATCCATACAGACACATATACACACAGACAGATACATACACTCAGTGACCCATACACACAATCGCATTAACCATTACATACACACTTAGTGCCCCCCACACACACACATACTATGTGCCCCCCCATACAATAACCCACACACACTGTGCCCCCCCGGACCTACTCACTGGCCCCCACACACTGACCCACACCCATAGTGGCCCCTACACACAGTAACCTGCACACACAGTGACCCACACCACACCATGTACCAGCAGTGACCCCCAAACACACAGTGCCCTCTCCACAGACAGTGACCCACGCACAGTGACCCCCCCCACACACAGTGGCACCCAATAACACACAGGAACCCCCCCATACACAGTGAACCACACACACAGTGGCCCAGAAAAACACACACAGTGACCCCCCCACACACACACAGTGCCCCTCAACACACACACTAACCAATGCAAGGATTAGCAGAAGCGTAGTCAAGGAAAGCCAAAGTCAGGGGAAGCCAGAGATCAGAGTAGTCCAGGAGGAAAGCCAAGGTCAGAAGCCAGAATCCGACAGGAAATACTGGAACGCAGATATGGCAAGACAGGAACCAAACAAGGGAACCAGAGTCAATGAACTGACACTGCCCTCAGGGAGAGGCAGTGTCTTATACCTGGCTAATTGGTGATCAGCCACAGGTGTGCTGAGATCGTTGGAGCAGCCACAGAATAATGTCCAGCCCCCAGTGCTGGGTACAAGGCAAGATAGACTTCTGCTATCTCTTGAGCTGATATGATGGCGCAGAGGCAAAATAGCAGCCCCAGGACTGCAAAGTACCCTGGTTCAAGTCTGTCACTGGGCACTTCTGGGGCGACCTCGTCTGGCTGTCGGGATGTCGCGGTGAGAACCGTAACAGTAAGTATCCTACTTACGATTTCCAGAGCAATTTGCTCTGGTGATGAAAGCTTGTGGTTGTATAATCCCCACCAAGGGATATAAACAGGATCCAAAGTGCACCAGGAACAAGTAGGGAACCAGAGAGAGGAGTAGGAAAAAAAAACCTGTAACTTTATTTCGCATAAAACTAGTATAAAATCTATAAATAATAATCCAGCTTCCAGTCTCTCACTCTACTTAACGTGTTTCGCCTGGGTTTGGGCTTCTGCAGAAGTATATATATATATCAGAAGATGCATGGGCACTTCTAAGTGCTAACATATGCAAAGTAAATGAAAGAGCAAGTTTCAAAAACATATATTAACACAAGCGCACTCAAGGATTTGTATAGAAAATAAAATATTTGCTGTTTATTCAGCAAGTACATAATATAATCGACGTTTCAGTCTTGGTGAGCAACTATTTTAATGAAAATGTCTTGATAAAAGTCTGTCACTGAGACTGCAATGTCGATAAAGAAATTGAATTATATAAATTGTTTATTTATTTTCAGATTATATCCAATCCATCTTGTTTTATTGCTTTTGTCCAAAACATTAAGTGCTAGCAATGCAACCCATTAAAAATACATCTGTAGTAAGGAGGTTAACTGACGGACATCAGTCATATATATTTATTTTTTTAAAGTGCAAGCATAATAACAAGATTACAAACAAGAAGACATACAGTAATATTTCTTAAAATATAACATAAGTATAATATATAACCTAACAAATATAAGAGTGAGGGATTGCAAATTTACAGCCTACAGATTTTTATTTATTCTCTCAGATGTTTCTTGCAATCTCCTTAATAGTTCCATGAAGAGTTTACTGTAATTTCCCAATCCTAACTTTCTATTATTTAAAACTGCACATATATATGCTATTCCACACAGATGTTGTTGCTCAGAATATGCAGTCTCTTAATTGTTTCTTATTGAGACATAAACGTTTGAAGTGTAGCTGCATAAAACACGGACTCTTGACATCACGGTATAGACTGACGGGATTCTTTTCATCTATCTGTGAGATCCATTTTAAGATTCTGGAAATACAATAAAAAAAGATGTTATAGGGTTAAGTTTATAAAAATAGGAAACTTGCAGAACAAAATATACCTCCCTTATCCCCCTCTGGTTGATAAAATTACCCAATGTTAGTTTAAAAAGATTTCCCAGAGGTACTATCATCATATGTAGTATTCCCATGAAAATGACTTTCTGGTTGCTTGTGATTTACGTACATTGAATTACATTACATTGACAGAACGCATTATCTGTAAAATTGTATGAATGTATGTATATATGAAGGTATATGGCATATTTGTTCAGTGAGTCATTTGTTTTCTCAAAACTTGAGAAAGAAAGGGTCTTCCAAAAGCTTGTTATTCCAAAATTCTTTTAGGTATTATAAGATACTAATTTCATTTTTTTTTTTTTTTACAAAGGAATAAATAAATACATTAATTTATATTTACATACATATAGACATAACATTAATTCCAGTATGCCACACAAATTACCTGGTGTTTACTCTAGCTCAGTATTAAAACCAAGCAAGAAATTGGAGCACATATATATTTATATATCCGTACACATATATACATATACCAATTTCATTACAAATGGCAAAACACAAACATTTTATTTGTGTACATATGCTGTTTTATTTAAAAATATTAATAATACTGTGTGTATTATAGTATACACATTCTCCACACATTTTAATCTGTATTATTTTGAAAAATGTAACTTCTATCTGCAAAAATATGAGGACTCTCACCTTATAGGATGAAGATTTTTGCACTCAGAAGAAGATTGAAGGCCAGAGTTTTGGCAAAAAGCACTCTCATACCGAGGATATTAATGGACATCACATTAACTTTCAAATTTCCTTCTGTAGAACAATATTAGAGTCATGGTTTTAATTTAATTGGATGCACTATATTCTACAAATCAGTTTTATAGATATTGTTTACAGTTATGATTTTTTTTAATTATTTAATGTTAATTATGACATATTTTCCTATCCTAATATAACATTATTATGCTATGAACATATTAGTTGGAGGCACCAGAATGAAGTAGCAATAGTGCTTAATAGACCCCGGAATACTCTGTCCAGGAATTTTTTTTTTAAAGTATTTCTTTGTATGATAATAGTAAATACAGGGGTGATTTATATTATAATGCTGTTAGTTAAAGAATGTGCAAGTAATTAACGGAGAACCTCTAGAATATTTCATATTCAGTAATAACTGCAATTATAAAATATTGTGATTTAGGAAAAAAAATTGGTATATACAGTACTTAGAAAACAAAAATAAGAATAATAATAGAAGAATGAAAATAATAAGAGCCAACATGTAAGTTATTTCTAGATTTAAAGAAGCCAATCAATGTAGGAAAATGTGACACTCTAATGGAAAGGTTTATTTAACTATTAGTAGGTCTGAAGAAAATATTATGGATATCATTTTTTCCCCTTTTTATTAACCCCTTAAGGACTGGACTGTTTTTGCGATGTTGTACATTTGCGACCAGGACTCTTTTTACACTTTTGTGGTGTTTGTGTTTGGCTGTAATTTTCCGCTTTCTCATTTACTGTTTCCATACAAATTATATATTGTTTTTTTCAGGACAAAAGGGGCTTTCTTTACATACCATTATTTATATAATCTCATGTATTTTAATTTAAAAAAAATACAAAAATCTGATGAAAAATTGAAAAAAATACATGTTTTTTGACTTTTACTTGAAAAATCTTTTACTCATCTACAAAAGCGAATGAAAAAAACTGCTAAATAGATTCAAAATTTTGTCCTGAGTTTAAAAATACCCAGTGTTTACGTGCTTTTTTGCTTTTTTTTGCATGTTATAGGGCTATAGGTACAAGTAGGATATTGCGGTTTCAAAACATACATTTTTAAAATTTATCAATAGTGACATTGTAACACTATTATCTGTCATAAATCTCTGAATAACACCCCACATGTACATATTTTTTTTAAAGTAGACAACCCAGGGTATTCAATATGGGGTATGTCCAGTCTTTTTTAGTAGCCACTTAGTCGAAAACACTGGCCAAAGTAAGCATTCATATTTGTTTGTGTGTGAAAAAAGTAAAAAAACTAAATTGAACGCTAATTTTGGCCAGTGTTTGTGACCAAGTGGTTACTAAAAAAGACTGGACATACCCCATTTGCAATACCTTGGGTTGTCTTCTTTTGCAAATGGTATGCCATCATGGGGGTAATTCTCATTCCTGGGCTACCATACGCTCTCAAAGGCAACGTAACCAACTTGGCCATTTTCAATGTAAAAATATTTGACCCATATAGTTGACCTTGTAACTTTCAAAAATGCTATAAAACCTGTACATGGGGGGTACTGTTTTACTCGGGAGACATAGCTGAACACAAATATTAGTGTTTAAAAACTGGAAAACGTATCACAACAATTATATCATCAGTAAAAGTGCTGTTTGTGTGTGAAAAATGCAAAAAAAGTAACTTTCACTGACAATATCATCGCTGTGATATGTTTTACTGTTTTAAATCACTAATATTTGTGTTCAGCGAAGTCTCCCGAGTAAAACAGTACCCCCCATGTACAGGTTTTAGGGTGTCATAGAACGTTACAGGGTAAAATACAGTGCTAGCAAATTAAATTCTCTGGAATTTCGGCCTGGGTTGGCAGGCAGGTCCCTCAAATTGCAATCAATAAAATTACTGAATTATGTAAAAATATTACATAAATACGCACGTAGAATTTAAATATATATGCATATTTATATAGTTTAAGTCTACGTGTATATTTATATAATTATTTATGTAATTTTGTATATGGACATATGTATATTTCGTATTATTTTTATTTATTTATATATACAAATTCATTCTAAGTGTATTTTGATATAAATATATATATATTAATTTTAAAATACAGTTAGAATAAAATTTCATATAGATATAATTTTTTTAAAAAGTTTTATTATTATTTTAAAAAATATATTTAATTTAAATTAATTATTTATATTTTATAATAATATATATATATACACACAATATATATAGTTATTATATATATTTTATATATATATATACACACACGTGTGTAATTTAATTATAAGTGTATTTTTATATTAATATAAGTACATATTAATATAAAAATACACTTAGTATGGCATTATATATATATATGATATATAGACATATATTATATAATTATTATTACCTATATAATTATTTTTTTTTTTTTTATTAACATTAACTATATTTTATTTTTTTATTTTACACTAGCAGGGAGACTGCCTGTCAGCACAGGCAGTCCCCCTGCTGGCAGACACATGGACACCTATTGTGACCATGTGATCGCTGTGTTAAGCGATCACATGGCCACAGGGGTCCTAATTCAGTGTGGGGAGACTGTCTGGGCTGCAGGCAGTCTCCCCACAACCGGAGCCACGCTGATCGCCGCCGGGGGAACGACGGCGATCAGGTAAGTAGCTCAGACCGTTAGGATGGTTCAGGACCGTCATCGGTCGGCAAGTCAAAAATGCCGATGACGGTCCTGAACCGTCCTCGGTTGGGAAGGGGTTAACTATATTTTCAATTGAAAATAAATGTCTCACTAGTCTGGTAATTTATCATAAATGTATCATAAAGGCAGAGTGCATCTCTCAAAAAGTGGGCACAATGTTTTCATTTTATTTTATCACTTTTATTCTATCAGTTCTAAAGAAAACAGAAAAATCCACAAAATATAGGTACAGAACAATGAATTTTTGTCACTACCTGTGGGGTCACATTCTATCTCTGTTGAATTTACGTTTTCTATAATGTTGATTTCAGGATCTATAAAACAATTAAGTAAGAAAAGTATATGTTAGAAAAAAGCTCAAAAAATAAACAGTATACTGTAATATTAGCTCTAAATGTCAGTCGCTCTAATGTTAGCGGTTTTGCATCTCAAGCACTGTATGTTTTATCAGAGTATTTTGAACACTACAAGATCATATGCATGCTTATTTCCTGTACCATTGTTGAATTTGTTTTTATCTCTGATGAAGTCCACTGCGTTGGACGAAACGTGTTAGATTTTATTCTCATTTTTTATATTTTATTGGGCAATTGTGCCTAAATAAATTTCTTTTTTCAAAATTTGGTTCCTGATTGTATCCTGAGCCAACTGAGTCTGCTTATTATTCACCATCCTCCAGTGGAAGCGGTCCAGCAATATCCCTTAGTGGATTTCAAGGCGCAAATCTCATTTAAATCTTGTGAGTGCAACCATTATTGCAGTGTGTTATTTTATCCAACTGTACATCACTATGTGTTGTCTGTTTTCTTTTTTATATTTTAGTTCTTAGCTGCATCCCTTTTTCTTTTTTTCTACACAACTGGATAATTGTTTGCTTTCATTTGGAAAGACATCGAGCTAGATACAACAATGCAGATATCCAGGCTCTTAAGACACAATTACATCAGTTAAAAAGTTTACTTATAAAAAGCTTTGTTTATTTAGTTACATGTACAATCTCACAAACTTCACCACTGATTCATTGAAGATATTCTGAAAATCCACTCAATATTTTTTTTGCTAATTGAGCATCACAGATTTAGAATATGCATAATGAAATACAGAATGACATATGAGTATTTCAGCAAAGATCTCAGCCTTTAAAATAAAGGGTAGAATGGTTAGTGATATTCTTATATGGTTAGCCTCTAATCTAGGAAAAGAGTAGAAAAACAACAACGTAGAAAAATAAATCCAAAATATTTTTTCCTTTAACTCAAATATTTTTCCACGTTGGCTAATGCGGCCTATAATTTGCAATATCATTAATATTGGGTTAATAAAAGTACCTTTTTCGATGGAATTTATGTACGTTTCTGTTAACCAACTGCCTTGGTGCTGTGCCTGGCAGTGTACATCCTCTGCTTTCAGATTTCCAAAACTAACTGCACTGTACAATCCATTTTTAAAGAGAATCGGGTTGGCCTTCACTGGACCAATTTCACCCTGACTTGAATTCATATAGATTTGAGCATCCTTGGGATAGAAGTCTTTCAGCAGACAGGCAGTGGTGGAGTCAGCATTTGGAGGTTTCAGCACAAACACAGAGGGGGGAGAATGATTCTTATCCTCTGGTGTGAAAATGAAAAAAAAAAAAATTGAAAACTTAAAATATTATCTAGAGCTCAAATTCTCATTTAGTAACATGTCAGGTGAGGCTAACAGCTAACACTATAGGTTATATTCATATGTGATTCAACGGTAGATACTTATTCCTTATGCAAAACTAGATGGTCTTATGTGACCTCAAAATATTACATATTTTCATGTCCTGATGATCTTAGTACCACACTTCCAATTCCAGTGATTTTAAGGTGAAATTAATATTATTGACCAACACTGAGATGTATGTGATCCCAAATGAAAGATACACCTATAACTATGATCATGTTCAAATTTTAATAAGTAAGGATTTGAAGTACATGTTGGATCAGGTATGCACATTTAGTATGTACACAGATTATCTGCAGAAGTGAAGTGAGATTGTTGCGAGAGACAGAGATAATATACTGATATTTATTTTCTAAATACAGGTCAGTGTACTATGTATACCGTGATCAGGTACCAGAGAATGAAAAAGAATAATGGCTATCTAACAAATGAGATTCACTTATTTCCAAGTAAGTTTAAATAAGGAAAACAAATACAGTAATGGACCTAAACATACTTAAAGTGTCTCAATAATAATAATATTAGGCTTTACAAATTGTGGGTGATGTGTTTACAAGTGCCAAAAAAACTGTTTAGTGAGAACAAAAGATATCACTCATAAATTGCTCACAATTAACTGATCGGTTAGTAACACCGACAGGCTGTGAGAAAATTACTGTTTAATTGCTGACACACAGGGTTATTCACTAAACCCCTAATAATTGGCAAAACTGAGACTAAAGTAGCCAAGTTATTATTGTAGCTGAGTTAGAGGATTTTTTCAGATCATCTCCTATTACTATATTCATTTTGCCATTCAAATTTCATTTTGCTATAATTTATAGTTTAGTAAATAAGCCCTACAATACCAACAAGAATAATAGCCTACTAACATATTACAAATACCATACTACTCTATACTGCTATGATTGTTGTGATAGACAGCGTATAGAGAATTCCGAGTCTAACTACAGCACAGATATAACATTATTTTGTCTACAGGAAGCTATAAAAACATTAATGCAATATGTAAAGGTTTTAAGGAGTGTGCCGTAGTGAATAAGTACCTCGTACTGTGGAAAAATAAAATCAATAGAGAAAATGTTCTCAATGTAAATCTTAGATTTCTACATTTCAGACGTAACATTTTATACTCTTAATACCACTAGATTTTCTGTAACATGTTTTGTAGCTTTGAGAGCACTCAGCTAACCTTTTTTAACATAGAAAGCATGGATTTACTTTAAAAATTTTTACTCACCAGGTTCTACTGTCAGTTTGGTTCCAGCTCCAAATATTAAAGGATCAGTATAATACACCGTAATATAGTCCTATACATGAACATACGATATCCCTTTCATTGACTGCTTATAACAGGTGCATGTTTCTACTTGCTACCCCAACACTAACCAGATGTACAGAAAATATATAAGTGCTACACTAGATTTATAGATACTGATATGGAATTCAAGACTCATATTGCAAATAGGTACATGTGTTACAAGGAAACTTTGATGAATAGATCATGGTGAAAATGAGAATTCAGCTTATTCAAATTAAAAAAAAAAAACAGACTGAAGTTACATAGTTACATAGTTAATAGTTACATAGTTACATAGCTGAAAAGAGACTTGTGTCCATCAAGTTCAGCCTTCCTCACATTTGTTTTTTGCTGTTGATCCAAAAGAAGGAAAAAAAAAAAAAAAACAGTTTGAAGCACTTCCAATTTTGCAACAAACTAGAAAAATGTTTCCTTCTTGACCCCAGAATGGCAGTCAGATTTCTCCTTGGATCAAGCAGCTATTACCGTACATTATATCCTTGAATATTCTGTTTTTGCAAGTATGCATCTAGTTGCTGTTTGAACATCTGTATGGACTCTAAAACCACTTCTTAAGGCAGATAATTCCACATCCTTATTGTTCTTACAGTAAAAAAAAAGAAAACAAACAAAAAAATACAACCTTTTCTTTGCCTTAGACGAAATGTTCTTTCTTCCAGTCTAAACGCATGACCTCGTATCCTATGTAAAGTCCAGTTGTGAATAGATTTCCACACAATGGTTAGTATTGGCCCCGAATATATTTGTATAATATTATCATATCCCCTCTCAGGTTATGTTTTTCTAAACTAAAGAGGTTTACATTTGTTAACCTTTCTTCAGAGCTGATATGTTTCATTCCTTTTATTAATTTTGTAGCCTGCCTCTGCACTTTTTCTAGTGCCATAATATCCTTCTTTACAACAGGTGCCCAAAATTGCACAGCATATTTAATATGTGGTCTTACCAGTGATTTATAAAGAGGCAAAATTATATTCTCATCTCAAGAATGAATGCCCTTTTTCATGCATGACAATACCTTAATGGAATTAGCTACTGATGATTGACATTGCACATTGTTGCATAGTTTGTTGTCTATAACAATTCCCAAGTCCTTTTCGTGTGTTGTTATCCCTAATTTGCTTCCATTAAGGGTATATGTTGCTTGTGTATTCTTTACTCTGAAGTGCATAACTTTGCATTTTTCAACATTAAATTTCATCTACCTTTTGAGTGCCCAATCCCCAGTCTATCTAAATCCCTCTACAGCAAAGTAATAACTTGCTTATATTGTATAACTTTACAGAGTTTTGTGTCATCTGCAAACACTGAAACATGACTTTCAATGCTTTTTGCTTTTTATTTATTAACATGTTAATAGAAGGGTTCCCAGAACAGAACCCAGAGGGACACCACTTGCCACCTCTGTCCAGCTTGAAAATTTACCATTAATGACAACTCTTTGTACTCTATTTTTAAGCCAATGTTCTACCCAAGAACTAACATTAAAGAACAAGTTAAAGCTGTAATCAATTTACTCAATTGATTAAAATATAAAACAAAATCTGAAATATGCAATTGTTTGCAGTGCTCAATGAAGATGGTACAAAATAAATAAATAAAACCAGAGCAGCAGGACGCTAATAGGAAAAAACATTCAACCTAAGAGTTAATAAAATACATAGTTAAACGGTTCAATCTAACTGTGTATTTTATTAATACATTAAAAATCTCTGTAACTTGCATTAATATCAGTAAATACCAATTCAGCTTCCCCAGTAGAAACAATGGGCTCTCAGTCATTGCTATGTGCATAATAGTTTTCCCCTTCAAAAGAGGGATTTAATGTCATTAGGATGGAACAGCATGCCCTAAAAATTGGGCCCTCCTTCCAGCAGAAATACTCATTTAGGGGACTGCCTGACAATTCAGATGGTCCCTCTGCAGCCAATCCCTCTGATCCGAGTCATGTGATTATGAATACATCGCAACCATATTATTTGGATTGCGTGATTGTATTAATTATATTTTGGCCTATCTGTCAATCATTTAATTATGTAAAATAATATTTATAATTTTATTCTAAGTGTATATTTATATATATATATATATATATATATATATATATATATATATATATATATATATATATATATATATATATATATATATATATATATATAGATAGAAAAAAGATAGTTTAGGCACTCACCCCTGAAGTATTCCAGATAGAACTGCCTTTGGTGCTTCCAATGTCCAAAATATGAATAAATCGATGAAATGGAGCACTCAAAAAGGACTTCAATACGGTGTATTTATTGTGACAAAATAAATATGTTGTAAATTTTTTGTCACAATAAATACACCGTATTGAAGTCCTTTTTGAGTGCTCCATTTCATCGATTTATATATATATATATATATATATATATATATATTAAGTGTTCTTGCATAGCAAGACCACTTAATGTTATCTCACATATATATTATTATTCTTATTATAACCAAATTTGCCACCCTAACTCCTCCCACAGTTTTTACACTACATAGACAAAAATTTACCAAAACGTGCAGATTGTTCCCGATCGGATTGCTATTACTTTGTGGAACGTTTCGCCGAATGGTTCACGGAATATCGTCGTTCTTGTGGCGAAATTTGTCCCATAGGAATGAATGGCAAAGCTAGAGTGGGAGCTGGCAAAAGCTGAAAAATCAGGACATGATTTCTAAACTGCCACCACTCCCTTATTTTCAGGCCCACCTACACAAATCTTATATCAAAACGTTCAGCTATCCCTGCTGCCACTAAACATGTCAACGGCTAAGCCATAGTCCTGATAGTTTTCACAATATAATCATTTGTTTACAACTAACGCCGTCCATTGACATTCATTGAAACTTCACTCTACAAAGCTCAAATTTGAAGTGCAATTTCTAAACTGCGACTGTGCCTTCATTTTTAATACTTCAGAGACATACTATGCATTAAAATGTAGGTCTGGGTCTTGTGATTCTCACAATATAAAGCTCTTCCCTGTAGGATTTATAGGTTTTAAAATACGACGGTTTGAAGATGGCAACCGCGAAAATACTCTGACCTGTGCCAGGCTGCAGCAGCAAGTGATGTCATAGACAGGGCCTTTTGAACACCTGCTAATGTTTTTATAAATGTATGGTTTAATGTAACTGTGCAACACCGTTGCAATTAAATGTGCTATATAAATGATAACAGTTACTCCGCCCACTCCAGTTGTAGACTACTGGTGGAGGCAAGAACACTTCACACAATTCACACAATTTCCCCAGAAATTGTAGCTTTTCTAGTTATACATAAAATCAATACAATGTTAAACAAATATATGTACACCAGTCAAGCCATAAGACTTGCTTTTCCCACAGAAATCCCAAATTTGTGATGTTACTACCGCAAAGGATTCTGGGTGGGCATATACAAATTAGTTCAACAAAGAATCAAATTTTTGCCCCATTCCATTTTAAACATGAATTCATTTGAGTCTGTGTTTGCTGTATACAACAGCTTTGAAACACAACTTAGGAAAAGATGCAAAGCCAATCATGGACAGCTCATTGTTAATGCAAATTATCAGCATGAGGTTGGTTACGGGCTTGCTATTGAGGCTTGGCAGTACTAAAGATATATATGTATAGATATATTTGTAGTCAGGGACAAAAGCTGTATACACGATAGGTTAGATATATGAGCAAGTCAGATGTGGTGTGCCGAAACCGACGTATCAGGTAGGCTTGTAATAAAAGAGGGCCCACCTGTAATAGTAATATGTATAAAGGGAGAGGTGGGAGGGATGAACCAGGCAACATCAGTCCTGTGGTGTAGGGGGCCTGAGTTTAAATAGCCAGGTAACCCCTCCCACAACTTCAGGCTACGCCTTCCAATTTGTAGTCGGGGACAAAAGCCGCATACATGATAAGTTAGATATATGAGCAAGTCAGTTGTGGTGTGCCGAAACCGACGTATCGGGTAGGCCTGTAATAAAAGAGGGCAAAAAGTTGAATAAGATACATTATTACACATCTTTACGTTGCAAGATTCATAAAGGCTTGTCCTACTCAACTCTAGCTCTGGTTGTGCTATGAATCTAGTAATATACTGTGGATTTCCAGCGTCCTAATGTTTATGGTGTGAGCAGGGACATTTGTCTGGAACAGCTGATGTTGCCCTGATTCTGGAGGAATGTACCGAAAAGGCATTGGGGTTGAGTCCCCGCCTAGTTAAGAGGGTTCTGAGGTACATTATGAATTTAGTTGTAGTGAGTGGTTTGCCCTGCAGTTAAATAGGGGCATATTGAGATTTGGTCCAGTGAGTGATAACCAGTAAAGGTCTGACATTTTGACCGGCACCTTATTGTCCGTAGGATAGTCCTTATGTCCCTATGTATTACATATGGTAAGAGGATGTGAACTGTTTGGTACTAGGATAGGCACTTAAGATATGGTGTTGTATTTCAGCAAGGTAAGTTTTGTAGTGTTAAGAGATATTTTTTTAAATTGTGTGGGCAAAAAGGAGAGGAGTTTCGCAGTGGCGACAAGTGAACAAATATTGGTATTATGGTAATCAGTGGTAAACTTTTTGTAAAGGTGAAATCTCTATGGTATTGCTCGTGATGGCATCTGCCAGATGCCATGAGGCGAGTTAGTGCAGGACCAAGCCATGGAATGTGCATAAAGCCAGCTGCTTTATTGTCAGAGAAGCACTTGACAGGTTCCCCTATCCACTCATACCTCCCCAGGCCTTGTAGGCGACCACTATGGGGTAGATTCCAAAGAAATGTTGACGAGGAATGGAAAGGTTTTTTGTTTTTTTTCCAGAGTCTCAACTGGCCAGGCATCTCAGAACCAAAAGTCACCAAATTGGCTGTGACGCATTGGTCCATGTAACTGGGAAATAATGAGAAATGGTGGAAATAACCTGGCCTCCTATTCCACTGTGGTATGAACCTGAGCCATATGTGTAGGTCTGCTTACAACTAGTGCCAGAATGCAACTGTTGGTGGGAAGAAGACTCAGCGATCGCGAAATAAATGTGCAGAATAATTCTCATGGCGAACTTCAATGTGCCCAGTAGGACTGTAGATCCATTCTCCCTCCTTCCCCTCCCCCCCCACGTGTTCTTCAGAAGGAAAGGTTCCCAGGACTCAGATGCACTGTACCTTCTCTGTAGATGGACATGTTCTGTAGCGTATTAGTGTCAAGATGAATGCCTAAGAAGGTCAGTTTGTGAAAGTGGAACCCATAGTCAGGAAAAGTGACATTCATCTTGTGAATACTAACCAGAGCGGAGTAAGGGCGTTCTATCGCGAGGAAGTTAAGATAACGGGTGACTGCAGGATATTCGGTAATATTGAGTGTTAGTCAACATAGTGTGTTAGCAAATAAGACAAAAAGCTTGGGGTTACGCTATGTTCTAAAAGTTACACGTGTGGGAAAGTCATGACAGTCCTTCTATAAAATGCCACGAACATACCCTCAGGATGGCTGAATAGTTAGAAGCTTGGAGGCATAGGAAATGTCTGTCTTGCCCACATAAGCTCCGGTCAACCCCTTTGGCATAGTGCTGGGAGAATTCCTTAGAGGAAATCAATGAGTTGAGGCTAGGGGTGGGTAATTAATATGGTTGTCAAATACCTTCTTAAGCAACATGATTGTGTTGCAGGGTCTATTAATGTGGACTGAAGGTTCTGACTCTTGTGAATACAGGACAGGAGTGTGACCAGACCTGTGTGGAACTGGTGTGTGGAAACCTTGATGTAGAAGTCGATTGAGTAACGGAAAGGGTGTGCTTAGATGTAAAACTCCAGGTTGTCAATGCAAACCTTCTCTATGGTGAGGAGAAGTAGAGCCACTTATGTCACGAAAGTCTGAAGACTAGGATGAATTCTGGGATAGTGAGTTTCTGATTGAGTCTGGGATTCTGGTGTATAGAAAGACGCACTGATCATCGTAGTAGTAAGACTTATACTCTAAGACATCGTGGGAGGCAATCAGTAAGGAGACTAAAATTAACCTTTCCAGATGTCTTTGCGTATGGTCAGGGACACAATGTACGAGGGAGTAATAATGTAAACCGATGTGCTAGGGGCTGGATTTGACAGGATAACATAACCATGAGAGGGATTTGGGAGTCCTGTGGCTGGGATGTGCGTCAGTGCCTGTGGAGATACCAGTCTCTGTAGTCCATCGTTGATGTTATGTATGGAGGCAAGTAGAGTGGAAATCAACTGTTTGACTACATGTGATTTTGCCTTGTGGGCAAGGGGCACTGAAAGGTGTGGCAAGAACATTGGCCTCTCGGGGACTGTAAAAAGAGTCAATATAAGAGGCCATGCTGGGTGAGGCCCTAACTCGTAACCTGGAGAGGTTGATGTGAGGCGTTAGCTATGTGTTGGGCCGAGGGGCGTATCCCTCCATATGCGGATGAAGATGGGTGCTGGCCTCACAGAATTTATAATTATGAGGCTAGTTACTGGCATAGCTGGGAACCAGGCCGCCAGTTGACATACCGGATCCGTAAATGGGTAGTAGCGAGGTGGGTAAACATACCTTGCTTGGGGTAGAATGTGGTTTCCTTGCCAGAGGAACGAGATATTGAAGAACCTAAAGGGAAATGATGGTGGGAGGCAAGTTGCAACTGGAATTGGGCTTGACATACTGTGAACGAAAATACGCCTGTATAATCGGGGTGGTTGTTCTTGAATAGGTCTATGAATAGGTAACCTGAGGACATAGTTGTTAGAATCCTGACCTTGGGAGTCTTTTACCGCATGTGGCTGGACCGATGGTGGGTAGTGATGTACCGAACGGTTCGCAGGCGAACGGTTCCTGGCGAACATAGCATGTTCGCGTTCGCCACGGCGGGCGAACATATGCGCGGTTCGACCCGCCCCCTATTCGTCATCATTGAGTAAACTTTGACCCTGTACCTCACAGTCAGCAGACACATTCCAGCCAATTAGCAGCACAGCCTCCCTAGCAGACCCTCCCACCTACTGGACAGCATCCATTTTAGATTCATTCTCAAGCTGCATGCTTAGTAAGAGGAGGGAAAGTGTAGCTGCTGTTCATAAGATAGGGAAAAGCATAGCTAGGTTAGGATAAGGGTATGCTTTTTTTTTATTTATTTTTTCTATG